GAACGCCAACCCCACCGTCGTGGCCGCTCACACTCGCGCTCTCTCTCATTCTCGCTCACGTAGTCGGGCAAGGTCCATCAGCCTCGAGGAGATGCTGTTGGAGGCCACGACGGATGATGGCCATGATCGCTGCCTCGACGGCGCACCCGCCGCTCTCCCTCGTCCGCAGGCTCTCCCTCGTCCGCAGGCTCTCCCTCATCCGCACGCTCTCCCTCGTCCGCACGCTCTGTCGGTCTCACTCGTCCACATGCTCTCTCACTCTCGCCTCACCCGTCGCAGCACATGGTCATCCCGCACACGCGTCATCGTTCACAGCCCCTCTGATCGACACCAACACAGATACCATCTCAGCGTGCCACCCAACCATGCGCATTCATGCTCCCGCGCATCGTCCTGGCTCTCCTTCCACCCTCGCGACAACAGCTGCACCCGTCGGCATCTGTGTCCGGCTCGGGAGTCTCGCCTCCGGGCAGTTCTGGCATCTGACCTTTTCCTGGACACAACGCGGGCGGGAATGGAGTGAGTAGCCCAGGGCCGCTACCACCCCAGCGAGTTCTACTGGCCTTGAAGACCCGTGCGCGAGCCCATGCAAGGCAACTCACGCCCGTCTGGGCCTCGAACGTCTTCCCGCCCTTGTACAGCCAACCGGTGCACGTGCGCTCACGTCCCTCACCACCACAGTGTGTCGTTTGTTCGCCGCTGCCATCTTCCCCACCACACCCAACGAGACGAGTCCACCGTGTACGGCCATGCTCTCCTCACCCTCAACATGCCACACGAACGCGGGGACGTCTGCAAGACATCGCCACCGTCATTAGCGGCGCCGCAGCAGGAGGGCGAGTCCTTCGTGATCAGGGAGCGTGTAGGTGGGCCAGAGCGAACGTAGGCGGGGTTGTTTGCACACATCAGGTGAGTCGTGATCGTTCTGTATCGCGCGTCGCTCGAGGGCGCATTCACTCACTTCAGCTCGCCACGCATGGCACCCCGCCGTCCAGATTCATCCACGACAAGCGAATGCGCAAATGGACGGCTTGCGCAGCTCACCTCGCCTCACGCTCTCGGTCTCCTCTCTCGTGTCCGGTACTCGCGTGCCCGCTTGACTATTGCGCCCAGGGCAGCTTGCCTCGTACTTCAGCGCTGCATTCTGACTCCCGTATCTCGCCCGTCGTCCCTCAATGCCGCGCTCCGTTGTGTCTAGTCGACGGACGCTTTTTCAAGGCAGAGCAAGCTGCTATCTGCGCTCGAAGCTATCGCACCCACACTGATCGCCAACGCTCCGTCGCTCGCTCTACGGCAGCAATGAACATCTAGCGATACAGCATCGACTGACGAATGCGCATTCGCCGTGTAGCTCGATCGACAACTTGCGGTCATTCATCGAGGATGACACTGGCCACTGCATTGGCACGGCTGTGTGCATATGCGGTGACATTCCCAATGCGTACTGTTCGTTCGACCTTCGCGCGCACACCAATTGCATAACATCACTGCCGCACGACGCTTTCCTTGCCCCGCCTAGTCGCTCGACGTGAACGTGCAAAACTACGCCAACAACCGTCAACTTCTCATCTTCTAGCCATGCATTCGCGAACGCGTGCTGCAGCGCACCGCGCCGACGTTCGCGGCGCATGGATGCTGACGGATACTGGGTGCTTCACCCGTCTTCAGATGAGTTCCCACTCACGCCCCCTGGTGTCTCCTTCACCACCACGTGGTGCAAACGCGCCGTCGACGCTCAGGACATGGCGTGCCGCCTCACCCTCTGCCAGTCGTCCGTCTACTCTCACCTTACAAAGCGGTCAGCCCCCCCTCACATCTCCTTCACCACCACGCAGTGCAAACGCGCCGCGTTCTTCGTTCTCCATCACCACCTAACCCGCGCCCAACCCTATCTTGCAGGCCTGCCCCACCCGCCGCCATGCCTGCGCCGGATGACCGCCACTCGCGAGCACGAGGACCTATGCAAAATTCGGCCACCCGTCATCGGCGACACAGGAGGAGGCCGGCGCGCAAGATGACGAGCGAACGGATAGCCGCCTCGATGACGTGCCCGCCGTCCTCACTCATCCGCATGCTCAACCGCTCTCGCATCACCCGTCACAGTACATCGTCATCCCACGCACGCGTCATCGTTCACAATCCCCTGATAGACGCGAACGTGCATACCATCTCGGCGTGCCACCCAACCATGTGCATTCACGCTCTCGCGCATCATCCTCGCTGTCCGCGCACCCCTCGCATTAACAGCTGCACCCATCACCCTCTGCGTCTGGTCTGGGAGTCTCGTATCTGGGCAGCTCAGTTATGAGGCCCCCTAGGGCGGGCCAGGGCGGGGCCAAGCGCTTGTGCCACCATCCGTGCTCATCACGTGAGGGTCACATGGATGCACGCTGAACGGCATGATGAGTGACACCGGCTGCATGTCTGCTGCGTGATGATGTGTGGAGGCACACCGCGTGCGTGCGTCCTGGATGCACGCATTGCCTGTCAGCTCGGGCTGTGACCAAAAAGTGAGGTGGCCGGCGTCAATGAAACCGGACGGTCCGTTCAAGCACTTAAAAGTGCCGTGGCTTACATCATTATTATGGTGCAGTCTGACTTGGATTTGGCAGCATGGCTATAATCTCAAACGCTGAGCTTCGAGATTAGCGGCACATGCAGTGCATGGTCGCAGTGCCAGCCCTCGTCGTGTGAAGTTGACCTGCATGTGTCGGGTGAGGCGCACGCTGTACGCGTACGTCCAAGATGCATGTTGCTCATCTCATGAGCTGTCACTGAAAGTTGGGGCACTAATGACGTGGCTGATTTGTTACGTCCTAAGCCTTGTGCTTGGAAATGTATTTATGGAATCACCTTATGTGGCTGGGTCATGTGCCTGGCTCGCTGTCATTTCAATCTCGATGCCATACTATATTTTTATCATCGCAGGAGTGTCTAGAATGTATACGACAACTGCCGCGGTCCCATATGCACGATTAATGTGTGCGGTGATGTGATGTCTACCAAGAGCAGCATATGCGTATGTGAATGACATAACAGCTGACCCGTCACGCCTCACTCAAGGATTATGCAATGGGTTCTGCGGCTGACATGATATGTCCTGGATATACATACTGCGTGGGAGCAGCTCACGTGCTTAGTTAATTCGTTGGTTCACTGTAATGCATAATGAAGCCCTCTGAGTGTCATCCAGAAATCATTTTTAACACATGCTAGGGTCGATGTTACATCGCAAATGCTGCAAAGCATTTGTTAAAAATGTAGAGGTGAACATTTTAGGGGACATGTGATGACTGGTCATTGATGCTTGATTTGGCACTCCCTCAGGCATACGTCGCGGACGCACGCATGCGAGCTGGCAATTGTTAAATCGATATCGTCCGCACGGAACACTTTTAACTTGCACGTGCTCGCTCAATTGACCAAGAGTTCATATGTTTCGGACATACATCTAGCACTGAGAAAACTGCAAAGTACATACATCCGGCCCATGAGCAACAAAGGGACAGCTATACTAATCAGCCTAGTTCTGGGTATAATACATATATGAGGTACATTCAGCCCTTGGCGCTCCTGTATTCCTGTATATGCGTGCCAAAGTACAGGTTCTGAAATACGCGATGGCATGTGCGATGGTGGTTCTGCGACATGATGGCTGGAGGCTGGGATGTGTGCCCTTTCCTCTGCTTGTGTATATGGTAGTGGAAAGCGCGTCTATATGGTGAGTTGACAGTGAAACGGACTTTGTGATACTGTGCAACTCTCAACGCACGTGTTAGAGCTGCAGGCGGACCACCGTTGATGTTGAACATAGCTGAACGGATGGCGGCTGGACTGGCGTTGGGGTGCAAATCTTGATCACCGAAGTCTTTGGCATTCAACCAATCGAGCGCGTTGTCATCTGTGCGCCATCATTCGAATGGGGCACCACTACCAAACCCCATCGGATCGTCCTCTCCATCATCTCCATCGTTGTCATTGTCGTTGTCGTTGTCGTTGTTGTCATTGTCGTTGTCGTTGTCGTTGTCGTCCTCATCCACTTCCATATCATCACTCTCAACCCCTGCACCTATCGGGTTGTCACATCGTTGGACGAAGACGCACCCTACTCCACAGTTTGCAGCGACAAACAGAAGGCGTGCTTTCTCCAGCTGCTGATTGTCGAAATAGTTCGTGAGGTGCACGTCACTATGGATTGGTAACGGAAGCGAGTGCCCGCTGAGCCCAAAAGTCCGGTGTACATTTCTCCGTTGTCCATTTCTGCGTAGTGTATGAAGCTGGGGGGGAGATGGGAGATGGGTATGTAAGGTTTCAATCTCAAGGCATCTTATGTGTCTGCTTGTCTTCACGTCTATGAAGTGAAGGATGTGAAGAGGCATCTATGCACACTGCCCCTGTCACCGTAATATCTCATCCCAACTTCACCTACATGGTCCGTCTCAGATCCGTGATACATGGTCCGTCTCAGATCCGTGATACATGGTCCGTCTCAGATCCGTGTCCATGATACATGGTCTGTCTCGGACGGAGATGATCCGTGTAATAGAACGGATGGTCCGTCTAAGATATTCCTTCTGTCACACATCATCTCCCTGTATCACAACTTCATGTGATTAGAATAGAAATGGTCCATCTCAGATGTTCCCTATCTATATACTGGGAGCCGTTAGCCCCTAATGGCCATGCTCAGAGGGCCCTCCATAGCACATTCAATTCTTGTGCTATGCTCTTCAAAATACCCTCATCTGAAAGCCACGCTTCGAATCTCGGAGGCCCCAAAGGGG